CACTTATGCACATACGTTATCAAGTTAAAATTGTTTTGGATGAGGTGGTAAATCTGTTTGCCACCAAACACCATTAGCTTACGTTATCAGTTTAGTTACTGTCAAATGTCACCCTCTCCAATAAAGTCTACTTACTTACTTACTTACTTACTTACTTTACATCCAGGGAGGCTGGAGCACGGGACTATTCTGAGGGATTAGTTCCGCAGTATTTTGATGTATCATTTTACATCGTCAAATTAGTCCTTTGTAACTTAATTCAAACAGTTGTATTCGACAAATGTAATATTCAGTTTCTACCGTGTACTTTGCCGTTACAATTTCTCATGTATTGCTTCTTTCCTAAATAAACGGATCAGACAATAAAAAATACATTTCGGTAGTTTGGTCCACTTTTGCCTCGTTAGCACCCCCCCACATAAAATCCTGGTTACGGGCCTGGTTTTACATAGCCGACTACACTGCCGCGAAAGGTTTGACAGTTTATCCTTAGGAAATTGGGAAGTTGATCAGACTAGCGGAGANCGGCCTGATTTTATTTTAACATTTTATAGAGGTTTTGCACAGCAGCCATGTTGGATGGCAGGAACAATAGATTATTTTACCCATGGGAAAAAAAAATTTTTCTTATGCAAAATATTTTCATTGTTCTTGCCATCCAACATGGCTGCTGTGCAAAACCTCTTTGCAAAACCTCTTAAACCGCGTGGAGCGGTTCATATAGCGTCATATAAGGAACCGCTCGACCAATCAGATTGCTTGAAACTCTTTGCTCAGCTCTGAAATCATACTAAATCTGTATATTAATGCTAGACTCAGAGAGAAACAACACACGAACAGTTTAAATTTTTGATTGTTTATTGAAACAAGACAGCTTCAAGAATTGTCAAGGAATTGTCGAAACGGGATGTACTCACCCATTATCCCAGGAAGGAATTTCGTCCGAAGTCTACAATTTCATCCTCTATGTTAAGCTTTTCCTCCATTTTGCTCCTTTTTTCCTCCCTCTCTCTGCAGAAACTTGTAGCTGGAGCACGAAAAACCAAAAGATTGCCAGAGAAACGAAAAGGAGGTCTAAAGAAGTAGGAATTTGATTGTTATATTTCATTCTTGTCTTGATAACTGTTTTTTTTTTCGTCTTAGTTGCGTTTTCCTCGTAGCCGCTTCAGCTGATTAGGTATTTCATGGTTAAGCAGATTAAATATAACAGGAACACTTAAAAAAATCAAATTAGAAAGTACGCCATTCCTATCTAAAAAAAAATTCGTGACCTCCAAAGGCCGGAAAGCCATTAGCCAGCCGCACCCCTCCCCCACCCGAAGCTTCTTCCTTTTACATTCAGCTAAGCATCATGGGAGTCAGGTGGGAATATTTATTGTCCGATCCAAGAGTGGAATTGTGCTGCGGACTGTGAAATGTGGGAATTTTTTTTATCATTAGTAAGTATGGTTTAAACAAAAACAGGTCGTCGTTAGTTGAGACAAACTACTCTCCAAGATGTCTAGTCATGCTAAGATGAAGAAGAAGAAGAAGTTCAGAGTTATGAGCCAAAAAGTTAAAGTCTTTCGATCCAAAAATCCGCTTCTCAGTGTTTTGATGTGGGGAGTTAGTCATTCGGTAAGCATGATCTCGACGTTCTTCTTTTAAAATAGTGCTAATCTAATGCTGATGCAAGCGATAATGCTTTTTTTTTAGATCAACGAGCTCTCGCATGTGAATAATCCAGCCATGCTAATGCCAGACGACTTCAAAGCATTCACAAAACTTCGCGTGGACAATCACCTCTTCAACAAGTAAGTGCTATGAAGGCCAGTGTGTTTATTTTCGGCCTGTTAAATTCTTGCGTTATTGTTTATCGGGTATGAGTTTTAAATCTTCGTAGCGTTCTTCGGAGTTTAATTCTTGTGTTTCTGTTTCGTTTTCATAAACTGACGCAAAGTTAAGTTTGGCCTCGAAAATCGGAATAAATCTAAATCTCTCTGCCAGGCATGTTAATGCAAGAACTGTAAGCTTTCAGTAAGCTTTTAGATTTTCCTAACCTTTGTTACGTTTTTTTTTCCCGTCACTACAGAATATATCAACACTTCCTTTGTATTGTCGATTAGGGTCCTGAAACATGACAAGTTTTTAAAATGTATATCAGCGTTTTGGAAGTTAAACTGTCGATCGAATAGGTTCTTCATTTGATTCGGTCTGGGCACTTGTCACCTGCAAGAATTGAATTTCATTATCTATATAATCGTGCATGCGTTTATCGCCTTTCAAAGCTTTTGCCACCGCATAGGCATCTGCCCTTCTTGAAAGCTGATTTCACTTCCTTTAAAACACTTTCTTTTCGCACATTGCAGCCATATCGACAGAATAGTCAGTGCCCGTAGCTAACTATCCAGAATTTATTGTATTTCTTATTCTTCATATCAAATTCTTAATAATTTACATGCGGTCCTGATTTTCCCCTGCGTGGAAAATGGCTTAATTTTTAAATATAGACGTCTTTGTAATTTCAACCCTAGTCAGGATTAATTTTTGGAAGTCACAATTTTTCCTTATTAAGCATAGCTTCCGTAAACCTCCTTACTTGTAGATAGATTTGAATAATGTTGTTGGGTGAGCAAACTTGGGGCTGAATTTTGCTAGAGAAGAATGTTATTTTCATTATTTAACATTCATGTATTTGGTTGATTTTCTCAGTAATATTTTTCCCTAAGGACCTCATACTGTTACGAGATAATAAGGAACACAATTGAGTAAATTTTATGGCTGAATTACCAGGTAGTTTATTGGAAGAATACTCTGATTATTTGGTTTTGTCAGGTTGCTAATAGTGGACATACAGCTAAAGCTTGGTGAACTCACATAATCTGCAAAAAAAGAAAAATTATTAGCTAGAGCTCATCTCAAATGGAGCACAGCCTACTTTTAATATACCAATACAGACAATTTTGGTTGAAGTATTGTTTTATAGAAACACAGTGCATTTGTGCAAAGTTCGTACAGATGTGTTTTAGATAGTTAACCGAGGTACCCCCTCAAGACTGCAAGATTTCTTGTGTTTCTCTTATGTTTGTGGGATGAAGAGGATAGTTTGAGAAGTGGAAGTTTGATTTCTCATGTGATTCTCATAAATGCATTTGGCTGTCTGAGTTTTATTATAATTATATAGACAATGTTTTTGGCACTTATCCATTGAAATAACCTCTATACAAGCTGTCATAACAAGAAATGATTGGTGTAATAGTATGCTATTAAATTAAAGAACAATGAGGAGCAATTTTGGATTTTTTTTATATTTTAAAGCGGCAAATCTCTCAAATTGTGAAGTTTGTTAGATTGTTTACTTTTTCAATATTTGTCTGGGCACATTTGTTAATATTTTTTTTCATTCTTAATTTGACGGCTTATAAATACACGTCCTTGACACGCAGTAATCCTATACAGGCCAAGTGATGTCATGTTTCTAAATGCATTTTTGTCACTTAGACAAAAGATACCATCTTAAGTAAAGTGCATGGTTCAAATCTGTCCTTGAAATATCAAATTTTCTTTTCTTTCAAACTTATCCTCTCCAAAGAACAAATGGCAAAATTGAAGGAAGATTAAATTTTGAACTAAGCACATGACTCACCAACGACATGCTCACAAAATTACGGCAGAGGTTATTATTTCATGCACTGCTGCTTTGAAGTGGTGAAATGAGAAAGTGAAAATGCATAGACTCGTATGACCTATGTTCTTAAATTTTCTCCCCAAATGATTGAGATGGAAAGTTCAGACAAGCCAAGTGACACTTATTAGTGAGGTACTTAGTGTTAACCAAAAGTTATGTAAAAAATTATACCTTCTTGTCTCCAACTGACTCTCTCCTTAACCTTGGTTTATTTGACTATCTTTCTGAAGAAGTGCCAACATTACAGAGGTAGAAAACATGGAGTTTAGTTACCTACTTTTGCCTCTTTTGGTCATGAAATTAAATGAAGTGAGCATCCATTTTGATTGGTTGATTTTAGTTATTGGCCCTCTGACTGCACAAGTCGTATAATAATATGTGAGAATGTGTTGATGACAGTTATTCACCTGAGGAATTGTCGACAGAGATTTCTTCTAGACCTAGAAAACAATGTTAGCTATGAAAAATTCCTTTTCATGGATAGCCAATGTATTTTCTGACCTACCAGCTCAAACTGTATTTTAAATCACATTCAAAAAGCACTTAAAATCAATGTATTGAAGGGGTGCATTGGATAGGAAAGGAATTATCCTAGAGAAAGCATCAGCCTACTCAGGGATAATTAGAAATAATCTCATAATCAGGTTCAAATTGTAAGTAATAATATTTTGATTTGAGGAAATCTCAGTTTTTTAAACAGAAGCTTAAGAAAAAAGTTCAGGAGAGGCAAAGTTTGTTGCCTGTTGGGGAGATGATCTAAAATTCTGCAAGCAAACTTGGTATTCTGTGGCATTTGCAATCTTGTTTTGGTAAATTTGGACTCTGTTTATTTTAGGGGAGAAATATCCAGGGTTTTCTATAAGGTAATGTGCTGGAAATTAAAATCGCAATGAGAACAATGAAAATTTGACCAATAATTTGCTCATAGAGAAAATATGCAATATGAGTTTCCAAAGAATTCCAGCTGCTATTCATGTTTTGGTAGTTTTTCAAGTGAAAAGTCACAGCTGAGTTCTACATCTGACCCTGTTTGTTTGAAGGGTGAATAATGCTATCTAGTGGATAAATCTCTATTTGTTGGATAGCGCAGTACCTTTTGTTAATGCTTATCAGCTGGATAGAGATTTATCCTTTGGGTAGAGTTAACTGGCCTTTGAATAACTGGGACCTTTGAATAACTGGGACCTGATGCTGGTTCGTGATAACTTGTGTACTTAAGAGTGTATTTATTGGTACATATATCATTAATGTTAATATGTTCTGTGGTTATCGTAATCATGCTGGTGAAACTGTTTCTTTAACATATTATTTCTAGTGTAGACACTATTGTGTCATTGGAATCCTTCTTAGGAAAGATACACTTAACCTTATAAATGTTTCATTCAGATTTAATTTTTATACATGTTGAGGTTTGGGTTTGGTGACCTATGAGAATCAATTTGAAGCAAATGAGATTGGAAAAAAATTAAACAAAAAATCTAATTTAACCACAATATCTGTATACACAGGAAGAATTTTTCAAATAAGTGTAGATTAGATGTGAGATAAGTAAATCAACTCGTGACAATGCACAAGAAGACCCAGATAAATGCTGAATGCAATCCTGATGAAGTGATTAGTAGAAAAGAGGAGCATGAGACTTAACATTTTGCATAGCAAATGCTTACTAAACTTGTGATGATTTCATAACCAAAACCTCAAATGGTGGGGAGGGGGGGGTGAGTGTTGCTTAGCCCCTCTCCACTCCTACCCCTCTCCCAATAGATGTCTTAATAGAATAAACCCTTTAAATAAGTGTTAACTGGGGGGTGAATTTTTTTGAGACACATGTAGCTCCTGGGATATGTCACACAAGAAAACGTACATATACGCGGTAACCCTCGTATGAATTTATTACTTACCTCAATCATCTCTCTGGAAATTCCAGAAAAGCTTTACCTTGGAATCTGTAGCAAAGTTTCCAAGGGATAGTGTGTTACTTGGGCAGAAATCACAGTTTTGACAGCAGATAGGTTATAATCCATGTCTCACACATTACTTTGCAGAGAAAATTTCCCAAGCCATTTCAAGTTCAAAGAATACTGCCCTTTAGTATTCAGACAGCTTCGGGAACGTTTTGGCATTGATGATAGCCATTATGCTGTAAGTAGTTGACTTTTGTCTCCAACCATGGCTTTCTATGGCAAAGTAGGTTATTTAGTTATGAGCTTCAGATTTGTGAAACAGTCTTGACATGTGTAATTTGTATTTTCCAGGCTTCCTTTCAGAGCCCTCCCTTAGTCATGCCCTCGCCTGGTCGAAGTGGTGCCAAATTCTTCATTTCCAAGGACAAAAGATTCTACGTGAAAACAATAGAGGGTGAAGATATTGAAAGACTTCATAACATTCTTCCACAGTACCACCATGTGAGTACAGCAGTCTTAATTCTTAGTCTGCTAGCCTTGATTCTCCATCCCCGATTCTCTATCCTTGGTTCTTCAAAATTTCATGAATCAGGAATCAAGTTTCATGTTCACACTGTCAATTTACTTTTGAGCAGCACTGTAAATGAAGATATACCACACCTATTCAATAATAACCATGCATTTTTTCCCTTTACAAATCTTTTGCAGTATATTGTTGAGAAACATGCCAAAACATTGTTGCCCCAGTACTTGGCTGTGTACCGTATCACAGTGGATAACAAAGAGACATACCTTTTAGTAATGAAAAGTGTGTTCAGTTCAAAGTTTAAAATACACAAGAAGTATGACTTAAAAGGTTCTACAGTTGATAGACAAGCAAGCATAAAAGAAAAGGTAAGGGCACTTGCTTTGTTTTCTACTTTTTTTGTTTATGATTACAATTAGTAAGCTCTCAAACTCCTGCCAAGAGGGCCATGGTATAATTTTTAGTAAAATCCATGCAGGTTTGTGAAGTCCTTTGCCTAAGTGTGCAAAAAGAGACTCTAAAACCACCAAGATGATGTATGTTCATGTACACTAAGACAGTTTTTTCAAATGAATGTTATTGGTTTTTTTAGACAAGAGAAAATCCTACATTCAAGGATAATGATTTCACAAAAGATAATGCAAAGCTTCGTATTGGTGATGAAGTGAAGAAGGACTTGTTGCAAAGAGTTAAGGATGATGTTGAGGTGAGGTTTCTAGTTTGCACTTGTTGTAAGTGTGTGATTTATTCACCCACTTTAACTCCTAATATCTGATAAGTAAATCTCTTTCTAGCTGCTGTACATTTCCTCCTAAAGAATATTTGTTGTTGTCATCCTGATGCAAGAGGAAGTTACCAGTTAATCTCTTCTGCAGTTTCATCTTAGTCACAAAGGAGCATATTCATTCAAATTTCATTTTTACTGTTAGTCCAATGTTTGAAAATGATCACCAAAACCTTTTAGGTTAACAGGCAGACAAGCAAACTAAGGAACTGTATTGCAATGGATGACAGGGTAGTCATGGGTTGATGAAAATAAGGGTAAGGATCTGAAAGTGGAATCTTTTACCTATAAGATTAGCTATGTGTATTTTCCTTTTCTTGCAGTTTTTGACAAGCCTTAACATCATGGACTATAGCTTGCTAGTAGGAATTCACGATGCTGATCTTGCTGAGGCAGGGAATGATGTTGATGATTTTCTGGGGGGTGTAGACAGTAATGAAGACAGTGAGCCAGAGTCCCCTCGTGAAGCTGACTCGCCCCAGGAATCTGACTCCCCAGGCGAGGCAGAGATGCTTTACTCTGAAACACCTCCAACAACTCCTCCGGCTAACTGCAATGATCACAGAGAGAGAAATGTCAGCTTAGGAAGCACCGATCTTGACATGAGGGAGGAGGAAGATGACACAGAAGGCTTTCAAAGTGTAGATGGTATGTGTTACAATTAACGTCTAGTGGTAGACCCCCTAAAAAGAATGCTGAGGTATATAAGCATACATTAAAGGGTTTTTAAAAACAGAAACAGTGATTTAGAAAATGAGTTGTGAAAAGTTCTTCAAACTTTCACTTTCAAGATCTGGAAGCCAAATTTTGGAACTTTCTGTCCTATGTTTCTATAATGTTTAGTGTTGAGATTTCAGTGTTTTGTCACATCAACATCCCCTTACCTGACGATCTTTTCGTGTCTCACAAGTAATTCATGTTTTAAACTCAATAATTCTGTAAAACTCTGCCAGATGCAAATTCACTCTCTTTTTGTAGAAGACAGACGCCAGTGTTATTACCTTGGTATCATAGACGTGCTTACATTTTATGGTGCTGGAAAAAAGGCTGCTCATGCTGCAAAAACTGTCAAACATGGGGTGAGTAAGTGATTGCCTAGTTGACTGAAATTTGTAGTCAAGGTCACTGTTTCAATGTACGAGGGCAGTGTAAAACACCATGGTCTATGTATCAGATGATATGTCCCACATGGGTGACCCGAAATTCATTTGGCACACTTTTGGTGTACACAGAGAAAGATTCCTCACCAAGTACATGTCAGCTAAACATCTTGAATGCAATGTAGTATGAAATGTGGTAACAGATTTTTGTAGAATGCTTGGTTTTAAACATACTGAAGGAGGTTGGCCAAGTGTGGGGGAGACAGGTACATGTATCCAAGTTGGTGGCTGACTGAAACTCAGATGTCTGCCAAGGTTCAAGTCTTGTTGTTTTCTTGGGAAAGAAAGTTTTAAGCTGTATGATATTACATACAAATGTATGCAAGAGGGAAATTTGATGATCCAGTTGACCTGAACATTAGAAATAGCGGTGCTCCTTACAAAGTGAATTTTTTAAACAAGGATTGTACTTCTGGGTTCCATATACATGCCCAGTTTTTCAAAATGGGGATAAATGTATCCTTTGAGTGTATTGTGGATAACGGTGTATTGTTGGAAATGGTAACTCAATTTTGGCATGTAGTGTTTCATTCCTTATTTTAAAATGTATGCTTATGGTGCTTGTTATTTTGATCTCCCCATGTATTGAGGTGCATACAGTACTTTCCATGCTGTAGGCAACCCTTAGATTGGCTCAATCACCTCCTCTCCCTCCTCAACTCCCTCCCCTCATCCCCTCAACTCCCTCCCCTGTACCCCTCAACTCCCTCCCCTCTGCCCCTCAACTCCCTCCCCTCTGCCCCTCAACTCACTCCCCTTCTCCCCTCAACTCCCTCCTCCCACCCACACCTCTCAACTATCCAATCAGGTGCCTATAAAAGCTCCTTATCCTTACAAGGACTGCCAGATTCATGTACAGTAGTAGCCCTACATAATTTTTTTTAAATCCTTACTTTACAACAGAGAAAGTGTTCATATATCTAAGGTCAAATTTCAAGATTTCATAAATTTACAATAAGGTGATAAAATTATCTTTTTTGGAGGTTAGCATTTGCTTTGAAAATTGATGATTTGCACCAAATTTCAGTGTAATTCTCTGTAGGCTTGATAGTCCGAGATAATATTTCATATAAAAGCCTTTAAACTGTGGACTTTATATAAGCCTGGAAAGATATTTTCTTATAAACAAATGTTTGACTTCTCTTTGACCCACAAGTAATTAGATAATTTAATTAACAATATCAACTCTCTATGAAACAAAGACTGAGCTAAATAAATGTTAAGTGATTTTGATTAAAGAGTAGTGGATAGAAATTAGAAGGGGGTGAAAAGACTTTTAGAATTTAAACTTTGATGGAATTGGCTGTCACTGAATTTGTAACTTCATTGGTCACATTACTTTTTTTTTCCAATTTTTTTGAAAGCTGTCTCAGTTTATCCAATGCCTGCATTTGTAAATTTTACTTAGAATAGCAAAGATCTGAAATGTCAAGGCTCAGAGAGCTGACCCTTAAGATTTGGCTACAGGTTACATTTTTGATCTGCCTCAAGTTACAGCAGTGGTAATACTTTTTTTATTGGGTTTGAGTCAGTGTCATGATCAGTGACATTCCCTGCCTTAGATTGCTGCAGTTCAGTGGCGAGCGAGTGTGAGGCAAATGACCGGGAATGGTGAGCAGCGTGAGAACTTCTGGCTAACATCTCCTAGGGTAACTTGACCTCTTTCCACGTCTTAATTACTGGTATCTTATGTAATATAATCTTAAAGCTGATTGTTATGTTTAAAATCTGTAAACATCATAACTGTTTTTCTCTTCATTAATTTACAAACAACTGTTAATGGTTAACTTTAAAAAAAAATAGCTGTAATTTAAAACTTTCTGACAATGTTACTTGATGACAATTGAACTCTACAACAAATACAACTTCCTTAAAACAATACTTTTAATTCTTTTTCTAAACTTGTATGTGACTGAAACAAGTATTTTACTGGCAATGAAACGAGTTTCAAGTTGATTGGACATAGGGTTGATGAAACTCAGGCATAAATTATTTTTCTTCAAGAGTCCCTTAAAAGTATATTTTCTCCTGGTAATGTTGTGAGGTACGTGTTTATTCCTCTCCTTCCAAAGAGGATTAACTTCTATTATTTTAAACAAGAAATGTTAAGAAGTGGCCTTAAACAAGCAATAACACGCAGCTATCATGTTAAAGGCAGAATTGGTGCAAACAACTCTTTTTTGCTGTTTGGCAGGTTTAGGTTGTTTGGTCATAATGGCATAATGGTTAACTTGCTGAAGCGGACTGAAAGGTTTAGGTTATGGCTTTGGCCAGCATCACTGGGTTTGGTTCTTGAACAGAACAGTCTCTATCTGTCCCCTCCCCACCCAGGTGTATTACTGGTAAAGTGTTAGGGGTAACTAGCAAAGTGCAGGGGGGGGTGGGGGTAACCTGTGAAGGCTGGCATCCTTTACAAGGAGAATGACAATGCTACTAACTGCTTCATGCTCTGGAAACCAGTAAAAGTTCTGGTAGCTATGAAACTTTGGCTTGGGTGCACACTTACCTTCCTAGTCTGCTGACTGCAGAGTCTGCTTGAAAGGTTGGATGACAGTATCCACTTGATAAAATTCATCGGTTAGCTTTGTTAACTCATGTTACTGGATTCAGCTGTTCATAGAATTTTACTTGAAAGCTGTTTTCAGTGGTACCCTCAACCTCTTACCCACTTCCTTGTCATCTTTCACTTGGGTGATTTGAGACTGATGTGGGATGCGATTTACTTGGGAATTGGTGTCATAAATGCAAATCACAAACCTCCTTGAACATTGTATTACCTTTCAGTGTGCTGATTTTCATAAAAATGTGACAGACTTACCATATGCAACTCTAACGACAGATATTTTTTTTACATCCTAGGCAGGAGCAGAAATTTCCACAATAAAACCAGAGAATTATGCCAATAGATTCCTGGAGTTAATGGAGAGAATATTTGAATAGATGTATTTACAGTAATTTTTAAGCAAAAATATACAGTGCATACTTAAATGTACAATCAACTTATCAATCACCAGCATTGTAAACCCTTTGAAATCCACACCTCCAAAATGTATAAATTAAATTTAATTGTTATTTTTAATTTTTGATGCATCACAGTCACAAATATTAATTTTTTTTGGTATTCAGAATTCATCAAGCATATTGTTGTTGTTCTTTTTTTAACACCCTTATTTAAAACTGTTAATTACAGGGATGCTTCTATAATATAGCTGGGAGGATGTTAATGATTTCTCAAACTGATATTTGACCCTTTCTGTAATAGTTGCTTTTAATGATGTCATGTTCACATAGCAAGAGGTAGATTGTTGATAATATTGTTACTTTTATCTGCTAGGAAAAATTTTATCTCTGTTAGTAGTAATTATTCTACAAAATGAAAAGAATGGTGAACAAATTTATTCTTTTGATGCAAAAGAGTAAACGTTTTCCTCCCAAAAAGTTTTACGTATTGTATTAGTTTTCTTAATTTATTTGCCTATGGATGTCATATTGTTTTGAATTAGATAAATTGATTTAGAATTCCTAACAGATCCAATAATGAAACAATTTTTTTTCCTCTATGGGAGAAGGAATTTGCCCAAAACATCCAACTACAGTGAATTTAAGGGTGATCACATCGCAAGTTTCAATCATAGGTGAATTTCTTTCAGTTATGCCAAGTGGAGCAGGGTTGTTTCGAGTGCACTTTCTGAAGCTGCAGTGGTTCTGGTACAAGAGGGAGGGAGAGAGGCAGTAGTTAAAAATTGAAGGCATTTCATGGACTTGTACATGTATCAGTCAGTCAGTCAGTCAGTCAGTCAGTCAGTACCACTATAGTTTTATCTAATATATCTGAAACCTCTCTTGAATGAAATGTGTTTTATCTCAACTAATAATATATTTCTCCCAAAATTTTTTTTTACTCTGAACATTCTAGATAAAAAGATAAATGGCAATCCAGTGGAAAAATGTTAACAAAACTCACTGTTCCATCCCACAGATAGCCATTTATCTAGCGGATAACCTTATCCGCCGGGGCCAGAACTTCGAAGTACAAGTTTTAAAAATTTAAAATGATCAGCTGCTTTTTTCAGCTCTCTTTAAATCTCTACGGGATAATTTGTGTATTTTCAATTTTTTTAATTTTTTTTTTTTTACTGAATATTTTAATTTTAAGTTCAATATGGCCCCGGGCACAAGAGTACTGAGAAGCCATATTTTCAGGGTAAACCTTAATTGAGGTATCATTTCAGTCAGATTGTGACCTACATGTACATGTATCACAACTCTAGTTCAAGTTCACATTTCATGCACCTGCTTGCCAGTATTTAATATTACTTGTAATTGTTCTTCATGTTTCTACTCAGAGGTCCTGTAAGATATGAGGCAGCATACTGAATCACCATTTTGAATCTGCTGTAAAGAACAGTGCTCATTCATTCTATAAAGAATTGTGTGACTTGACTGACACTAACGTATCAGAGACCCCATATTTCTGATGATTTTCTGAAAAACACTCTTACAGAGTTGGATGTGAAACTCAGGGTTCATGGTCTTATTTAGGTTTCCAAATCTATTTATTCTCTTGATGTTTTGATCTTGGAAAAACGTGACTTCTTAACTTATGAACTGCAAGCAGTGTTGTATGCATTTGCAAATAGGAATTTCCTATAGAAATATTTGTTAAAATGTAAAAAAAAAACATTTCCAAAAATGTATCACCTTCTAATGCTTGTGAGCCCTTCTTAAATCTTAATAAAAATTTCTTTTAAATATTACATTTGTCGTGAAATTTTATTGTCACTCTGAAGGGCTAACCCCTTGCACCCTTACATAGGTATGCACACTCATAATAGTGTGTTGTATAGATCTTCTAAGAGACCAACAAGGAGAATTTACTTAATAATCAGCTTTCATTTTCCATCCTTTCCTTTATTTCATAATACTTGATTTAGGTGCTCTACATTAAGGAAAAATTAGATGCCTGTCTTCTCTAAGGGTTAAATGGTTACTTTGACCTGTCCATATTTCATTTTTTTAAACACGAAGGCGCGCTATATAACGAAGTCTTCCCTGGGAAGATCTAGGCTCATTTGTCACTCACCATTGAAGTGTGCGGGTCAAATTTAAATGCTGGTAGACGAACAAAAGGAGCTAATGAGATATCTATTGTTTACTTCCACCAGCATGGTGGCATGAGGTAACGTGCGAACCACCAACTTCGATCTCAAATTTACCGCCACAAATAAAGACAGTTTCCATTGGAGAAAAGAGATACAAATCTCAAAAATTCTTGTATTGTGATGACATAAAACAATTTTGAGGAATGCGCCCGCTGTTTACTGCTTTGGAGTAGCTGTAGCTCAAGCTGACTTGAATCTAAGAGTTCTACATCGCACAATGGTTGATTGACAAATGGTCCAGTGGGACCTAAGGCTCCTTTTATAGCGTGCCTTCGTGTTTAAGGGAAAGAGGAGGGTGGGGTGGAAGGTGGTAACCTTCAACTTGCTTTACTAGCATTTGATCAGATCTACTGTTTCCATAACACTTCACTGTGAAAACTGTGTACCCCTAATTACTGGAAAAGCTTATGAGGCACCATAATTTTGGCAAAATAACAGAAGAGCAATGCAACAAGGAATCTAGAGTTTTGGTTGAAATTGTGCATTATTTTTTCTCAAGTGCTTTACATTTTGCTGTGGCCTTCATACTACTAGGAAACCTCAATTACATTAACAGAAATGCATGCCAAATGAATGATTTACAAGGAACCATTAAAAAAACGACCAAATGCAACTGGAGAGATAAATAGGTTTTCATGCTTGCTCTTAACCTCTTCAGATTGCACCTTCCAAAATCATTATTCTATGAGATAATTCAGTATTTAGAGCAGTTAAAAACAACTCACTAAATTTTGTAATCTTTTATTTTAGTTAAATATATACAGAAGGTCAGAACAAAGGATGTGATTTGCTTGATGTAATCAAAAGATTTAACATGACCTTTTTTTTTTCTGTAAATTCCCAATGGAATGAATGTCCTAACAAATAAACATTTCTGCATCCAGTGAGTTTTTTTAGAATATTAATACGGCTACTCTGATGAAAACATGCATGGAAGGTTTCATTTGGATGTTTGACTCTAAATAAATACAACAAATAAAGATTATTCACAAGAAGTAAAATCACTTAAGCAAATAAATTATTATTCCCATTTTAAAAAACACACCTGCACTTGGGTGAAGTTTATGTAACTGGCTCAAAGAAATTAGTTAATTATTGCCTTTGATTATTACTTTTTACAAATTCCTGTGCTTAAAAAACAACAAGTATTTGACCAGGTCCCTGAAACAGTGATTTTGGTCAAAAAACATTTGACATGCAATTCATAACATTAAGTCAAAGGACTCAGTTCTCAGTTATATAAGGAATAAAAAGGAAAATTGTTGTAGGAAACTTAAATCTCTTGCCAGCAAGAAATTTAGCCTGTCATAAGAAATTTCCTGGAACCTGCCAAAAAGTATTTCTTATGTAAGAGCAACCTTATTAATATTTAACAATTATTCGCCTCAGGTTCCGTGAATATTGTCGAATAATCCCCGAGTCGAAGTCGAGGTGATTATTGGACAATATTCACGGAACATGAGGTGAATAATTGTCTTAGTATAATTTCAGAGCTGAACAACAGAGAAATTTCTAAAATCATAGCATTTTAGTAACATTTATTAACATTTTACTTCAACATTTTATATAAACCGCGCGGAGCGGTTTATATAGCGTCATACAAGGACCCGCTTGACCAATCAGATTGCTGGAAAGTCTTTGCTCAGCTCTGAAATTATACTAATTGTGCTTATTATCCTGGAATTTTCTTAAAGATGAATATAATTATGCAGATTAAAACAGATTCCCAAAGTTCTTCTATGCAAACTTCTCTTTAGTGATACATATGTGTATTTTGGTAAAACATGGAATAAAAACATGTTACCAGGTATGTCCACCTCCTTCTTGAACAGAATACAAGATATTATGCAATCTGAATAATATTAAATAACTCAATTTCTGATTGGTTATGTTTATGATTTTATATAACCCTCTCTCTTACATGTACAAACCTCCATGACCATATATTTATAAAGAATTGTTAGGACCTTAAACCTATGTCACAAAAGTAACAGACACTAGAATCCATCAAATATTTTTGCTCACCCGATTTGTGTAAACTTATTACATGACCGAATATGCCCTAGCAAAAATGGGCAATATCCAAGGATAAACCCCTTATACTCCTCAAATTTTTAACATCTTTTCCATACGTTCCAAAAATATTTGAAGGTGCTAAACACAATAGCCTCCATTTGGTACAAATACCTATTTGTCCCTGGACATTATCTTTTCCTTATAACACACATTTTCCTTGAGCTGCGCTCTCCCAAAAATATTCTCATTTTGAAATAGATTAAGTCCACAGAAAATATCTGTGCACACTTCTGCGCCAAATGGAGGCTATTTTTTATTTATCTACCAATAACCTAGACATAGACATCAAGTTCTATAGGAGTCATGCTGTAAGTTTGCCTGTAACTCAGGGTTGAACTCCACTTTTACCCAATATATACAGAATGTTCTAGAAATTTTTGTTACATTTATTTACCCTTTAGCCAGGTGGCAGAATATAAAATACTTCCTTTTGTTCTTAATGTCACTGAAACTACCGTATTTTTCCCATTCTTATAATAATTTGAAGAATGTAATTTTCATTTTAAATTTTCCCCCTTGTATTTAGTACTGAGGCATCTAGGCAAGTGCCTTATAGAATCAAACAAGAATATTGATAACATTAAAATGTCTGAAACTAGTTGGAACTCACTGTGGTTTTTTTAAAAAAAAAAAAAAACTCAACAATAATCCAGAAAATCCATGAAATTAAACAACTGTTTTCATCACATGGCCATGAACACAATGTTTTGATAAAAAAATTCCCAACTGTTTTTAGATACTTGTCATTAATCAACCAAACTATTCACAACAAGCATTGAGCTCTCAAGGCATGTTGAAAGCAATTAAATTGTTACAATATTCAATCTGCATGTTCCTTTCCTCTCCCAAAGTTGTATTCAGTCTGAAAAGGGGAAAAAAATAATAGAATCTTGACATCTCTAAAGCATTTTAGATTTCAGTGTAGTTGCTTATGTTTCATGACCCAAAATAACCTCTCACAAATTACGGTAAAACATGTTTGGCTTGGTGGCTGAATAGGAAAGCTGTACTGCGACTAGCAAGAATCAATTTGAGAGGAGGCAGCATGGAATTCACTAAAACCTAATGCAGGCAAACCTTCTCTTGGTAATCCTGGTCACATAATGTCAACACAAAAAGTTGTGAAATAATTAACAGTAAGTTATGCACTATAATATTGGCAGCACTACTTTTGAGGGTATATATTAGTTTTCTTTTTTAATGAAAAATTCAGGATTAATTCTAGAGCATACACATACCATAGCAAGCTGTCTTCCAATGGATCCAAATGTTACAACACCAGAAAAAAAGTACCATGGTAGCCATGATCTTGCATAGAGGAAATCTGGTTCACCATTTCTGAAAGGACAGAAAAACTAAGTTTTTAGTCTTTAACTGGGTGGTTTCTGTCCAAAGGGTACTCTGGTGGGGAAGCCATCAAATTAAGAGTACATCATTTAAGAGAAATGATTACAGAGCTGCACAGGGACACCACATTTTATCTTCACTGTAGTTTCTACCTGATAAGAAAAAAATCTAAGCTCTATAGGGTAAAATTGGTACTATATCTCCTAGTAAACTAGATCACACGTTCCAAAAAAGTTTATAAATACAAATAAAATGCCAGTTTTTTTTTAACACAATGGCAGAATCATAAATGCACCAGACTGGTGTAGTCAAATCTTAAAAGATTCAACCTACAGTGACTATAGTCAGTTTCTTAAAAAATTCGACCAAGCAACTGTGACAACATCAATATCTTCTCAAGTGAAAAAACATAGGACATTATATTTATAGCATGAGGTGAAGGTATCAGTTCAAAGAAAATGAATATTCACCCTATTATTAAGTTTATGTCTAATAATAACAATAAAATAAATAAAATTACCGGTAAACCCCCAGGTATATCAAACCCTGAAGAAGAACACAGGCACACATTGTCACCAACACAGCCAGTCCAAGACCATTTTTTGATCGGTCAAACAACCACCACAAGGTCAGAGAGCTCATAGCCATAAAGAGGAAGATGTGCATTGGACTGTTAAAGGTGATTTTCTACAAAAATGTTAAGGTGAGACAACAAAAATGTTTTTCCTCAGAAATGTTAAAAATAACGTGAAACTCCAAAAACTTGTTAACTGTCCACAAATAATTATGGCGTCAAAAAGAAAGGCTGACGGAAAAATTATTTTTGGAAAAACATAAGCACATTCGCGCCAGCAAAGAAAAAAGTTTGAACCAAAAGTTGGTCCCTTCAGCTAGACCAAGGGACCATGACTGGTCTTTTCTGGCCGTTTTTGTTGTTTAAGTGTTTTTTTTGCAGGATTATCATATTTTCCATAACCAGAAGTTAAGACCTTGAAAAATAACTGGAAAATGGGAATTTCAAAAATTTTCCATGGCCATAAATCACACTAGATTCAATTGCCCATTTAGGTGGTCACCCTATTTGCTTTCTGAATGCAACAGGTCAATGATGTATGCAAGACATGTTGTCGCGTGTAATTTCCAGTCCCGGAAACTTTAGACGTAACTTGATACCCAGAAAAAAAAACAACCGGCATTTTGTACATTTGTTGATCGAAATTTCCAATGTATCAGAAATCGATGAAAACCCCTGGATAGCTCACAGATTTTGATAGATATTAAATCATGTATTTCGATTCAAAACGCGATACATGAACATAATTTAAAATACGTGTTAACAAAGTTAGGGTTTTGTAGGCTTAATTTTAAAGTTTGGTAGCTGAATGGGGTTTTTAACTCCCAACAGAGTTTGTTATTCGTAATAAAGCTGCGAAATTTTCACGAATAGATGTTTCATAAGAGCGTTTCTCGCTTTTTTTCGTTTTCGGACGACTGTTAAACACAGACCGGAAATAAACAAGTCGCCTATGTCATTTTCGTTGACTGCACTATCACGCTAGAAAAAATTAGCTATCAAGTTTCCGCAAACAATCGTAGGCATTCAATAACTTTAGAACCCAAATAACACATCAGTGGAAAGGATACAGCACATGCATGACTGATTCCGAGGAACAACACCACGCATTTAAAAACGCTAGACCATTCTCTTTCAAGCTTGTGTGGTTTTCCAAGTCGAATATCAGAACAAGGATAAATCAAACCAACAACTGCGGCAGCAGTGCCAGAGGATGGAGCTATCCACCACACAGCGCTGAAGAGCTTTGCAATTATACCTATATCTTGGATTCTCTTTCTACGTACTTCTGGTAAAACAGAAAACGTGAAAAGAACCATTGCAAAGAAAGTTCCGAGGATGAATAACACAACGCCGCGTACGCAAACGTTTACTACTGACGGTGCGATTTTGCGAAATATGTTCAAGAAGTATTTCCCACTCGACGAAGAGCGCCTACCACAAAGTAGACAATGCATAGTGAATCCCATCGAGCGGTATAAAGAAAGAAATTGATGCAAAAAGTCCGTAGAATTTATACAAGAAAGAACCTTACGATAAACTGTCGTTGATGGGCTGTGAGTGGCCTGATGAGTATCAGCCAATCACAGTGCTCCAAATATCTGGTGGGCAAAGGTGGAAATCAGATGACATCTTGAGCCAAAAATGAACCAATCAGAACGCGTGTTGTTGCCCGCGCGACTTTGACTCCACTGTAGCAAATGTTTAAAGCTTTATTTTTTGACATTCTGCCCGTCTTTCGGAATTCTAGACAAAACATGATAAAATATTGAATTTCTCTTTGACCACAATATTTACAAATTGGCCGAAATTAATGCAAAGATGGAAGTGGATTGTATTTATTATTAAATCAAAAATATTTTGCCAAGCGATTATGATATGGTCAAATTAGGGAAAGAAAAAGTTCAGTACTTGATTGATATTTAAACGAATCGCTTTCAGTAAGTCGTTTAAAAAATCAAATGTCTGAAAAATAATTGAAAATTAGGGCAGCGAAGCTTTTTGATCTCATATGAATCAGTGCCGCACAGTTCTTTTTTTCGCGACTATCAGTCAGCCAAACAAGTAACTTGACCGTTCGTACGCTGGCGCAAAATCATTTTGTGGCTGTAGTCGCTAGCGTGTTGTTTTGAGTGAGACACAGTTTTTCAGTCCAAAGTCTCTGGTGGCCTGACTTATCACCAGAGCTGGACTGATCAAGGTCTTTGAAAATCACGCCCAGCCGAGGTGGACGTTTCCAAATTTCACTTGGCGAGTTGCAGGGCTGAGACGTCATGTTTCTTAGATTCTAAGTAGATTGAACATTTTTGGAACAAAGTTCGAGTGTGATTGCCGTCAATTGGACTGTAAAAGTATCTGATCCTCTCGAATGACCTGACGTCTGCCCAGTAGGGAAATAGCCATGTTGAAGTCCGTCGCGCATGCACCATGTTAATGGAGGCGTAATTTTTAGATTTTTGACGTCAATTTCTTAAAAATAGCACAACTGAAAAGCTTCATGTACGTAAGTTTTAAGATTAAAGAGCCATGTTTTAATTCAGCTTTTGGTGAAAATTATCAATGACGTACCAGCTGGAGTTTCATGCCCAGATGTTTCACGTCCAAGTTAAGTTAGGGACCAACCATTTAACTCTAAGACTAGGTTTACACTAGAGGAGAGTTTTCCGGATTCGTAAATGTTTCCGGATTTATCAATTTTGGAGTATTCGGATTCGTAGGCGTTTACACTGAAAGGATATTCGAATTCCTGACCGTTTACACACAACGACAACTCCGGGAACATTCGAAATGGAATGGTTACCAAGCCCAGTGTTGTTTCGTCGTTCGATCGACAAAGTGAAAATGCCTCCCCCAAAAAAGGCTAGAGTAGATCCAGATGCCACCGAGGCAAATTTGAGTTGGACAGATGCCAAGCAGTCTACGTCGACGGCGATTAAGTGTGGCTGACGTTAAACTTCCTTGCAATAATAATTTGCGTTTCTTCAGAAATACTGCGGTACACATGATAAAATTTATCGCCTGAACCTGCAACAAGATTAGGCAACCGGAGACCTCCAGCAATGTTAGCACCAGATCCATTTTGGTTTCACCGCAAACTCAAAAGATTGCAGGTGGAAATAATATCCGGATTCGAGAAAAAAAGCGGTTACACGACAAAACTTTCCGGATTCAAAAGTTATCGGATTCAAAGTTCCCACTTTAAATTCCGGATTCAAAATCTCCGGAGACACGACCAAACCGGGAAGTTTTTATTTCGGATTCGTCCACTTTTGTGTAAACGGCAGAATGAATCCGGTACTAAAACGTTTCGGATTCATCACGAATCCGGAACAATTTCCTCTAGTGTAACTCTCGTCTTAGAGAACTTGGGTTCGAAATTACATACTAACCGCTGATTTAGAGCTAAAATGATTGTTGGCTCAACACTGAGGCCATCCCGTCGGAGCCGTGAACCAAGGGCAGCTAAAGTCCTAAGAGTTGAAATTCTCGCCCTGATAGAGAAAGTCTGTTTCAGGTTTCCGAGAGATTTCCTAAACTGGACTCATCTGTACGTATTCAGGGCCTATGTTAGTTATTGGCACAAAAGACAGCCACAGACACTGTGATACAGATGTGTTTATTTCTTATACTGGAAGTTCAACGAAATAGCGATGCTTCAGTACTGGTTAATATTTCCCGATGATAAAATGTGTAACACCATTTGAAGTAAATCATTTATATTCAAATACGTGAGTAACAGTGAATTGTAAGCCTAGTAAAAATTTTGATCAGTAAATTAAACCTGATAAAAATCAACGATTTCATTTCATATTAAAAAAAAAGGACAGCAGAATTCAGCGCATGATTTGGGAATTGAAAGTTTTAAAATAGTCTCATGCACAGAAAACGAATTTCTGGCGGGAACGTAAGCAGGTTACGGTTCTTGTTCTAGAATTACTTCAGATTTGGTTTTTCGACACTCAATTCAAACCTGCTCCATTCATTTTTGCAATTATCGGCTGCCTTTTGAAGATCATCATTTTTAATCCGTTTAATCCTTAGGCTCGATTTCCGACGCTCTCTCGGGTCCGGACTTTCTCGTTCGTCTCCGAGAGTGGTGGGCTCGTGGAGGAGCGCGGGCACCGGTTCCCGAACAGCGGCTGCTAATGGAGCCCATTTCAATCTTGCCAATCCTGAACGATTCTTGTCTAATATCAGTCTATTCTGGATTCTGTGGAGTTTGTCTACTCAAGCAAACAATAGTTGAATACAGTTTCCTTCCACTCAACGAAAAGGAATGGAAGAAATACATTTTTAAATATCATAATGATAATAATACTAATAATTATATTACTTCCTTTCTATAAAGTTCCTCAGCTCAACAAAAACGTACAGCCCTTAGTCATTTCAGGCTCATTCCGAGAAAATCAAATTCACTGAATATTAATTTTTGTGCATTCGACTCGCGCGGTTCCAAGATAAATCGCCATATTCGTTAAAACTCAAGTGCTACCAAAGTCAGCTTCAGCTACCAATGCACCTCTGGAAAGATATCACGTGATTGCTTGCTGACGCGGAAAAAAAAAATGTCGTGCTCGGCCTAAAATGATTGGTTAAATATGATCGCTTCGCAAATTGATTAAAAAATTTCACGCTTTACAACACCTTTTTAAAAAGTGCACAGTTGAAACTGGTCGTCGAGTAATTTAAGAAAATCGCCTTAATCAATGAGAAGATCAGCTTATAATCAAAATACTATATATTTTGACGATTCCTGGTGAAATGCGTCCTATTGATATCCTACTATACTCTACTTCACTAGGTGAATTAAATAGCTTGTAATAAAAATTGCTTGAAGCTTAACTACAAAAAATTGCTTTCCATATAGAACTATCTTATCTTGGATCTAGTAAATTTGAGTTGAGTCGGTGAGGGTCGTTCAACGCAGCTTTTTCCAATTTGTCCTTTAAAGACAACTTCATGGAGTTATCTCCCAGCAGACGAGCAAAGTTACTTGTGAAACTCCTTGCACGCTGCCTGCAAGATGAAGTAAAGATGAAGTAAAGAATAAAATAAGAATTTTAACAGGGCATTCACAGAGCGATATCAAAGCTTTTAGTCTTCTAATGAAGTAGTTTTCAAGTCCTAGATTGAATCGGCCTTGGAAACAACAGCCAACGCCTGGTAGGCAGTCCAAATAGCAACCCGTCTCTTGTTAAAAAGATCTGGGAACGAGATTAGATCTGAGGTAGAAAGAACTCTAACCTGGTGTTTCTGGGTAAACTGATCATAACATCGAAAGGTGCTGACATTTCCGCCAGTTCCTCTAGGTTGCTGGCGTTCGAGCCCACGTCATCGACTACCAAAAGTTTTGGCTGCAAAACGAATCGAGTGCGCAATCAGTTATTGCACTGTGACGGCAAATATCATCTAGCTGCTGACTAAAATCTAATTTCTCCCCGCGGCAGAACGGATGAGTCAAACATGAAGGTCAAGAGAATAGGGAAAATGATCACCATAGGAAGTTCTTCATTCTACTACAAATGCTTCATGTCAGTACCAAATATGGAAATATGGAGAACGGACAGAGCTGAATAACGTATGCGCATGCGTTAGGTTTTGCCGCGGAAACACGGATTTTGAGTCGTTCGCGTGACTGATTTCCGATTCTGTTGCTTCGAGGTGTCGTTTTCCTAGCCGCTTTTCTTTTACAGAACAACCTCTAAAAACTTGGTACACCCCCGAAAAATTTTCGAAAATTAATTTTATCCTTAAAACCTCCGAAAATAGGAAAATGCCTTGGACGAAAACAAAGTTCCTCGGTTTTAAATGTGAGCCCTTATTATTTCCGCTAATTTCGCTACATTTTAGACTTAGAACACTTGAGCCCGCGTTGTTGACCGCATATCCTCTGACGTAGTATTTCATTACTCAGCTCTGTCTGGAGAATGAGCAAATCGATTTTAGGATGTAAAGGACTGACAGATACACGCCCTTACGGCGTAGAGTAACGCTATGGTGTGGCAGCCTTGCAAGTTTTATTTCATTGCCGCAAACCAGCTATCATGTTTTGTTTCATCGTGAAGGCGGAGAATGTAAGTATCGGTAGGGGGAATTCAGCTTTTCGCGCTAAGTAACCAAAATAAATGTAAATCGAGAATTTTCTTTCACAGAAACGTGAGAATCGCTTACTCCACGAGTTTTTTCACACATGAGATCCAACACCCATTGAAGCGGTACACCCGAGCGGTTTGGATCTTCCAAAAAAGCTTCCAAATCCCCTCCGTAGAAATAGTTACAGTCCATTATCTGCAACAACAACAAAAGATAGGAAAAATATTAGATAGAATAAAGTAATTACAAAAACGAGTTTAAAACAAACAGAATCTACCCAAAAGCTACTTCCATAAGACTGATAAAACAGTAAGAAAATGGGTTAAATATCTCTAACGCTGTTTGAATTCGGCATAGTAACATAACAAATTGTAACAGATACAAAGAAGCAACAAAAATGATAAAAAAGGCAATCGACACTCGATGGTCTGGAGAAGAAAGTGGCAATTCTCTTCGTTTACTGCTTGTGAGAATTTTCTTTGGATTTTGTCGAAGAGTTTGAAACGAGCATTTTTGCGATTTCTTTAAGATTAATTTGAATTCCCGGCATGGCTTTTAAGTTCTCAAAAAATGCGTCGTCATGTACAGTGGGCCTCCGTCGGGCAATCAGTAGAGAAAGCCACAAAAGAATTGGTGGGGTGTTATACATGGAAACAACCAGTGAAAAGAAGCAATTCGCATCCTTTTCACGAACTGATTAAATCAAAAGCACGTACATCAGTTAACATCGTTATTGTATAAAAGTCTGGTTCTATGAGGTCGATTCTGTTGCCAATCCGTAAGTTACGGTTAATAAAGAAAGAAGAAGAAGAAAAAAAGAAACTTATACCATTTCGGCGCCACAATGCTTTAGGAATCTGATTAGAGTCTGATTATAGGAATATATAATCTGATTAGGAATCTGATTATATTCAGGGCCTCACTGAAGTGCACCTTTTGGTGAAGTGGGCTCCCTGTTAAAATATTGTTATTATTATTATTATTATTATTATTATTATTATCATTATTATTATTACTATTATTATTATTATAGTTCAGATACCATTTTAGTATGGCCCATGAAATAGAGCATAACTACTTTCTTTACACCGTCAGCCAGCTTGGTCAATGTCTTCCTTAAACTTTCTTTGACAAACTCAGCAGACTTGTCACAAATATCCTCTGTTGAAATAGAAAAAAAAAACAAACCCTCAGAACTTCAAGACATTTAAAATCCAGTACTTAATTCCATCCCAAGAACTCAAGAATTCCCATATCCAAACATACTTTGTTCGTTCTTCCACAACCCTCCCCTCCCCTTCTTTTGGCATATTCTCATAACCCTCCCCTCCCTTTCTACAACAACGTACGTATTTTGTAAGCAGCATACAAACTTACAGGGACACTTCGTAGGGGCTTACATAGCTCGGTTCGAAACCTCTGTCGTCGTAATGTTCCATATGTTCATTCTTCTAAGTGTGTCCTTTTAAGATCGATTACAATCAGAAAGGGTGAATTTAACGCTAAAATAGATATTCGAATTTGGCCTCCTCTGCGTAAGGTATAGGGTTAGGGGTAGGGTTCCGATAACTGAATAATTTCTAGTTTCATCGTTAAATAACCTACCGTAACTGAAAACTGTAAAAACGTTTGAGAGAACTATGGTGTTCGGTAGAGGAACCAAGGTGGGTCAAAGAGACAACACATTATTCACTTTCTCCTTGTTACCATGTCCTTTCCTTAATCTGAATCTGGCCACACGTAATTCAGACACATAGACTGCCAGGTGATGATTTTTAATACACGATTCCTTCTTCTTCATCCAAAGTGTGTTAATGCGATATCGAATTCACCATACTCTCAAGAAGACGCCCTAACTATCAGAGTTAATCTATTTACAAAGTAAGATCTTTTGAGTTTGCACAACATACCACATTCCCATCCAGATTTGAGCAATGCTATTCGAAGTTCTTCACGGGCCTTCTTGAGACAACGATTTGCACTCGCATCAAAAGCATTTGACCCATCCCAGTTTGAAACTAACACTGCATGGCATTTCATCTCAGCTGAAGAACACACTTGAATTTCTGGTTAAAATAATAAAAAATTGACATTTCAGTCCTGCCTGTGACAATTTTGGGAAAGAGAGCACAACAGTCTTACGTCAAAATTTTGGCAGTTTCATGTTTCTCTAGTCTTTTATTTGCGTCCTTTGATCTTTTAAAAATTACTGCTACAGTTTAGTTCAACAAACACCTCAGGGGCAGTTAAATCAACTGCCAATTTTTTTTAATGTTCGAACCCCTCTAAAATCTTTTTTTAACACCACATCTTAACGATGCCGTTGCAATCGCTGTCGCGGTAACGAGGCTACACTGTACACACCGACACTAAATGTATTTCTGGGTTTATTTTTCCATTTTCATTTCGCTTGACCTACGCAAATAAAAAATAAACTAGTTTACTTCTGTACACTTTTATATACCACAAAAGAAAAAGACTATTCAGTAAAACATTTTTGTTTCTGTCCACTTTCTGTGGTTAACAAACCTTGATTTGCTTCTGAATTTATGGAAATTGGTAATGGCGATGAGATCAGCGAGAACTCCATCGAAGGACTGAAATTCTTGCTCTTTAACTCTGCTCTCACTCGATCAAAGACATCTGCAAGCATCACATTTGATTCCCTATCCAAGATTTCAACCAGGCTTGAAATAAAGGCCCTGAATATAAATCAAAGTACCTTTGAATCAGTCGTGAATGGAAAAAAGGATCATTGAAGAAAGGAATGTTTGAGTTCTCTCACTCAGAACGATAGAGTGATAGACAAAGGGCTTCACAAGGACAAACAGATTCCTTTTAGACCGCCCCGCCCGACTCAACGGGAAAAAACGTTTAGACATTTTTGCGTTTTTCCTCTATGAAGCTTGACAGCTCTTTGATCACATCCAATGAATTTCTTATCAAAATGACATGTTGCTGTGTGCCAGTTGAGTAATAGATCACATTAAAATGCGGTATGAACAAAATTGTGGCACTCTGCAGCTGTGTCACTGATTTTCAAAATATGAGAACAATTGGCGGATTGTCACGTGACTTACAGTCGTTCTTCTCCTTCTTTTCTTATACTTCCTGGGCGGCATGGAAAAGCAATGATTGCATTCGGCGGTGGCTGGATTGGTGCCAATCCTGGTAGAACTCCTTTTAATTTTACACAATCTGTCACCACATGATTGTCATAAGCTCCATCGACTATCACTACTTGCATCTGAGAAAACAGGCGGAAACACAAATGATTGCTTCAGTTATTTTGTTAGGTAAAATGCCATTTCAGTCTTCGAGTGCTCTTACCTACGTTATTGCACTCAAAAATGCACATATTAAGTTACTAATCATAACAATTACCATTTTCTTTATTGTAATCTAATAACGAAAGGTTTAGAAAAACATTTCACAATAAAAATTAGCGATATTAATACATGACTTTTCGATAATGGTGACATGTCGTCGCCGAAACGTCATGTTTTAATATCGCTAATTTTTATTCTGAAATGTTTATTGTAATCGCTCTTTAAAAAAGTGTTTTAATCAGACAATCTTTTAATCGGACAGTTTGTTATCAGACAGTTTGCTAACGGTCAATTTGTTTTAGGGCAGTTCAATAAGCCAATCACATTCAAAGTTGTACTTAAAATCAGCCAATCACATTCAAAGGTGTAGTTAAATCAACCAATCACAACCTTGTAATTTGAATATATCAACAAAGTTGAAATGGTAAATTGGCCACCGTTACGATTATAAAAGCTGACGTTTCGAGCGTTTCTTTTAATTAAATTTCCATTTCTTTCATAACTTGGCTATTCTTCTTCTCTCAGAAATTGTAATTTTTATGATCAATAGATAATGACACTTCATATCCTGCCAGTCAGTCTGTAATCTAATAATACACTAGGATAAAGGAGCACACGGAAAGCGATAAAAACTCGCATATTTTTAAGCATTTCAACACATCTCCTCCTTGTAAGAACAAATACTCCGGGACCCTTTCTTGTTTTAGTATTCTGGATTCTGCAAACAACTCAATTGATTTAAAACTCGAAGAAGCTTTTTATATAAATAAGACCAAACCTGAACTTAACAAACAATTACTGCATTAGTAAGAACACTTTTCTAGCGTTTTAGTTCACACCTTTGATGTTTGTTGTCACGTTGTAATTAGTACCCGCTTTTGTATTACATCGTACTGTAAATATTTTATCCATCTACTTGTATGCCATATAATTACTCACGTTCAGTTACTCATTGATTGAAGATGGCATAAGCATGCCGAAACATGTCTCTCAAAAAAGTTGTCTATTTCTTACAACAAATACAAGTATGATTGCAGACCGAATTGGACACCACTCTGTCCCATAACCATTACTTATAACTAAGGTGTTACATGTGCGACTGAAGGAAATATGATATGCCAAAAGATGACTTTAAAAAGTATTATGATAATCATGAGTTTGAAATTTAATTTGATTGCCTTATTGTCGAGAAGTTATGCATGTACATACCTCTCCTTATATTCTAAATGCAAAGAGTAAATATTACTGAGATCAGGCACAACAATACTAACATATTTCTTGCTCAGTTGCTTAACCAGCCAATTGATATTCAATGAACTGTGAATAAGGTCAGCTCGTGAGGAAGGAGTCTTTAAGTCTCTGGGTAGAAGGTAGTTTTCCCCATTTATCTGCAAGATGGACATCAATTCAATGACATTATACAGTTTATACAAAAATGTGACAATTGTACACCTAGTATTTTTGGTCAAAATCTGACAAATTGTGAAAGTGTAGTGTAGTCATCTAGGTGAGTGTAGTCCTGAGAAAGACTGTTGTCAGTGGTCGTGACTGATGTTTCGACAACCTGTGAAGAAGTCACCATCAGAGTCAACAAAATAAACATACAAATTACTAGAGTCTCTAATGAAAACCATGTCACAAAAAGGGGAAAAAAAAATGAAAGATCTTTGTTTAGTTTTTGGAATATCTAAAAACAAAAGGAACACACCTGAACTGTGGGTCCAACCAAATAAGCAAAGTAAACACTTCTTCTTGCCACAGACTCTTTGGGTTTTATAAATGAATGGATACGTTTCCCAAATTCTGACTCTTTAACCCTCTTACAAAATTGGACATCTGCAATCAAAATATAAAAATGTATTCTATTTTATCACAGCCAATAAACATAACCTATATACAGGGGCAAATCCAGGATTTAGTCAAGGGGGGTTCAGAGAATTGTCTGCCAAAGATTGACCCTTCTAGAGGAGACTAGGGGCATGCTCCCTTGGGGGATTTTGAAAATTATGTCTTCTGATCCCTGGATCAGCTAGTGGGGCATGTGACCATAAAATTAGAGGTTTTGTCCTAGCATTGCACTGTAAACAACATTAATACTAGCCCATACCTGCATTTTCCCAACAATTTTCAAGAATTTCCCGCAGTTTCTTCAGCTCTTTTTCATGCTTCTGGTCCTGTTCCTCACTTCCACAACAACTTATTAAGAGAGGATGGAATTCCTTTTTGCCATCATCTGTCAAGAAAAAACAGTCCTTCATTCAACTGGTCAGGAAAACCAGACCACTCATATCAACATAAGCAAACCTTTAGAAAAAATTCACATGCAGCTTAACCCTTTAACTCCCAGAAGTGATCAACATGTAACTTCTCCTCATAATATCCATATATTATCCAGCAAACAGGTAATAAGAATACTCAAACTTATCAGGTAGAAGTTGTTACTGTGATTGAACACCAAATTCTTGTAACCCATTTACAAGGAAATGTGTGGTAGCTGGAGGAGAGAATAGTCCTTTTTACAGGTGTGGGCTCGGTGGCCAAGCCTTTGAACAGGAGTGAGGCTAAGGGTGACCTTGTTATGATAGAGATGTTGATCCTTTTCAAATGGAAATTACTTTGTTATCATGCTAACTAGCTACAGGTCTCTATCACAACAGGGTCACCCTTAGCCTCACTCCTGTTCAAAGGCTTGGCCGCCAAGCCCACAACTGTAAAAGGGACTATTAACGATGAGATCATGAGAGTTAAATGGTTTACTTATTAAGTAAATTTAAGGTGTTCAAGATTTTCTCTCCGTACTACTTAGAGGGTTTCCAAAAATGACCCTGTATGATAATTATAAGTTCCTCTCTGGGATTACTGTCGAGATGCTCTTATTCTGAACCAACATGTTCCAAAAACTAATATGAATTTTGGGAAATGATCAAACTACTATCAAAATTAATTTCTGGTTTGGCATGAGTTTGTATCCTGATGTCATTGAAACTGGAAAGAGTTCAGACAAGTACCTAGAGCAAGAATTCCACTTTTGCCATATACTAATTATTCGTGATTTTTTACTTTTAAATGCAATTTTAACTATAATATTGTTAGTAGTTAAAAACTGCATTTTCATATTACAATGCAATAGAATACTCAGGTAAGATAATTTTCATCATATAATGATAAAAAGGTATAAATTTTATAAGAGGCTTTTAAGCTACTTAATGTGGCCTTGTAACCCTCCTACAGCCTATCTTATAAAAAAAATTCCAGAAAGTTTTTACTTTGATGTATGGCTCATGCTAAACATGTAAACTTTTAAAATTTCCATATGGTGCTTCACCTACCATCATTCTTCAAGTTGATCCCCAACTATGTATTTATGTTGCCTTATGTTGGGAATTTGGTGCTATATCAGGATTATACTTCCTGGTTGAAAATTTTCTTGATACTCATTACTTTTTGGTTATTTAAAATGTTCCCCTCAGGAGTTAAAGAATGAAGAATACCTGAATTCTCAAACACTTCATCATCATCTTCAACAGAGGAGATACTATTGGGTTGTTCCTCTTGGGTAGGTGTCTGATGATCAGGTTTGTCGTCAAAGTCATTTCCATCTTTGCCTTCCTCTTGAGTTGGAGTAGACAAATTTGTTTTGCCGTGATCTTCATTTTCATTGTCTTCAGATTTGGTCTCTTGTTTTGGAATTCGACCATCAGGTTTTTCGTTACACTCTTGACTCTGTTCTTGTACCGGATTAGCACTTGTCTTAGAGTCAAGCTTTTGTTGATCAATGTCATATTCCTCTTGTTTTGGAGTGCGAGCTTCAAGTTTTTCATCTGGTTTTTTACTGGGTTCTTGTATAGGAACTGCTTTACTTTCAGATTTTGACTCTGAGTGGAAGGTTTCTTCAACTGGAGATGTTACCATAGCTATTACGTCTGAGAAAAAAATTGTGGTATGAGTTTTAGTAATAATCATGGGAGTGATAAAGATTACTTTCCTCTGCATTTAAGAGACAAACTGTCATTAACAGCTTAAAAAGCCCAGCGATCTTACGGAATGGTCCATTTCCAAATTACCATTGGCCTCTTTATCAAAATGAGTCCTAGTGCTCATCCTCTCGTATGATTATAAGTTTTCATTCACATGCAAATGAAACTCATTTTCATTCTGGATAATGGTTGAGTATCAGGCCTCCTCTTGAAAAAGAGGCCAAAGGTAATTCAGAAATGGCCTATTATGATCACTGCAGTTAAAGAGAGTTAGGTGTTGATGTTTGACTATTCTGATAGAGTGGGTTACCTTGACCACAGTTTCGTTAAAGAGATCTTTGACTTTTCTATAATTTGAACCCACAAGTTTACAAAACAAGAAACTCACCCACTGATTGGTCTTCCGAACTTTCTGTCTCAGGTGACAATAAATTGGATGGAATATTATTGGGACACCTTTTCATTTCATCTATAACATCCCATCTGGCTACATTAGGATCCCTTAACCAACCAAGGAGATCATTTATGGTCTTTTTTAGTTGAATCATCTTTTCGATAAGTCCTTTCATCTTTCCATTTTCTTGAGTGTTCTCCAATTGTCTCACATCATCAGCACTCAAATGCATGACACTGGCTACGCCCCGCCAGTCATGATGATTGGCATCCGATGGATCCATCAACTTCTCAATCTTTAAGCGGAGACTGTAAGGGATGTCTTTGATGAGTGTCTCTGGATGAAAGAAAAAAAAAAAAAAAAACAGCTACATGAACAAATCTGTGCCAATTTAAAGAAGATATCAATCAAATGAATGAAAAGTAATTAATTATTGTCATGCCAATCCAAAGACTGCATCTCCTAGAACAAGCGCCTATGCTCCAATATATGCCCTCTCCCAAACACCACCTACCCCATATAGGCTGTAATGTCAAACCTGCACCCCCCCTTCAAGTAAGCACCCCCTCCTATCTGTTTCAATTGCCACTTTACTCGTAGCTTTTTAAGCTTCAACTACAGCAGAATCACTACAGGAGAATAATAAGTGTCCTCCTCATTTAAGAGCCACTACCCATCAATATCAAGAATCTGCTGACAGTTGCAAAATTTTGTGATTCGCTTTATTTTTCGTATTGGACTTTTATGATGAACCATTTTCAGATATTATTTCATAAATTTCTATCCTACTTTGCTTTTGCCAAAAAATCAGAAAGGTTCAAAATACACCTAGATGGCCATTGTCCCCCCTGTTCCCCAGTTACACAATAAAAAGTTGTGCAACTTTAGCAACTTCGTATGCCACAGTACCATACCATCCCCCTTTGAAGTATTGTGTACTAGTAAACAGTCCTTTTATCTCTTTGAAAATGTAAAAGTCAACAAATTCCTCACAAATGACAATTCGTCATATGTTCCCATCAATAATTACCTAAACTGAGCACATCATATTTCCCATCAGCAATGGAAGAATGTTTGCTGGCAGAAGCTTGGCCTTGGCCTTGGCTCAAGTTGTTCAGTTTACTGTCACTTTCTTCATGAGTGAATTGTATTGTAGATGCTGCGCTGGGAGGAAGTGGGTAATCATCTTTTTGACCATCAAGTGGATCATCAAAGTTTTCTCTTGGAGATGGGGGAATAGGGCTTTCTGGTGTTGGAAATGGGGGAACAGGGCTTGCTGGTCTTGGAAGTGTCAGAGCTCCTGATAATAAAGAGTCAGCAATAATTCTTGGTCAAGAATTTCAAGATTTCGAAAGGGTATAGTTTACCTTCTATTGACTGACCTAAAATGGATAAAGGGAGTAAGTTTCTAAAGAAACTGTGGTGCTACATCGGTGGGTGTAACAGGCTAATAGACCTAAAAATTAATTGGTTGACTGACTGACTCACTGACTGACTCACTGACTGACTCACTGGGTAACTCATTCACCAACTCACTATGACTTGCTGAATGATTCACTTACTGACTGACTCACGCGCTACTAACTCATTGACTCATCCACTGCCTTACTGACTCTTTAAGTCAACAAGTCATTTTGTCACTGACTCACTCACTTACCGAGTCAGTGACTGATGATTGATTTATAGTCGATTAAACTTTTCCATGGGCGAAAGTTGTCAAATAGATCTGTCACAACTGTAGAAAAGAGTGCTAATGTCCAAAACTAAATAAATATTACTTCGTTAAAGTTGTATCGTGTGACCATTCTAAGGTACCCGAAAGCTATGACATAAATCTGTCACTACAATAGAGAAGAGTACTTACGTCCAAAAATAAATATTTCGTTAAAATTGTATCGTGTGATCATTCTAAGGTACCTTATCTATGTAACTCTGATACAGCTGTAAATGTGGTTAAATTTTTGAGCGACATAAAAGAAGTGAAAACCGTTTTCCTGACCTTGCCCTCCTCGCAGTTTTCTCTCTTCTTCTTGGAGTTCGTTTGCTAAATGCCCCAAGACAATGTTTGGATCTTTCAGGGCTGTTATAAACATATTAAAAGCTTTAGGGCCTCTCTTTTCCAACAAACTTAACAGTTTTTGTGCTCCTTGAGTAGGACCATTATTTTTTTGCATGGCATCGATTTCTTCCTTATCTGAACTACAAAAAAGTGTGCTGAGATGTGAGGCAATCATTGACGGGTTGGGAATGCTATTCATGATCGTAGCTGTCTTGATAGCCAACACTTTCTTGTGAATTGGATCCATCCCAAGCGTACTACCGTGGAAAGAAAACTGCAAAAAGTTACAGCACACCTCTACATTATAGGTTCCTTCTTTATGAGAAATATCCCGANATCTTTTTGAAAATGTAAAAGTCAACAAATTCCTAACAAATGATAATTAATCATATGTTCCCATCAATAATTACCTAAACTGAGCACATCATTTTTCGCATCAGCAGTGGAGGAGGGTTTGCTGGGAGAAGCTTGTTCTTGGCCTTGGCTCAAGTTGTTCAATTTACTGTTACTTTCTTCATGAGTTAATTGTACTGTGGATGCTGCACTGAGAGGAAGTGGGTAATCATCTTTTTCACCATCAAGTTGATCATCAAAGTTTTTTCTTGTAGATGGAGTAACAGGGCTTTCTGGCATTGGATATGGGGGAACAGGGCTTTCTGTAAGTCTAGCTCCTGATAATAAAGAGTCAGCAAGAATTCTTGGTCAAGAATTTTAAGATTTCTAAAGGGGATAGTTTACCTTCTGTTGACTGACCTAAAATGGATAAAGGTGGTAAGTTTCTAAAGAAACTGTGGTGCTGCATCGGTGGGGGTAACAAGGTAATAGACCTAAAATGGGTTGACTGACTCACTGGCTGACTCACTGGCTGACTCACTGACTAACTCATTCACCTACTTAGTCACTTACTGATTGACTCACGCACTACTAACTCACTGACTCATCCATTGCCTTACTGACTCTTTGAGTCACCAAGTCATTTTGTCACTGACTCACTCACTTACTGAGCCAGTGACTGTTGATTGATTGATTGATTTATAGTCGATTAAATTCTCCCACGGGCGAAAGTTGTGAAATAAATCTGTCACCACTGTAGAAAAGAGTGCTTCTGTCCAAAATTAAATAAATATTACTTCGTGAAAGTTGTATCGTGTGACGATTCTAAGGTACCCGAAAGTTATGAGATAAATCTGTCCCTACAATAGAGAAGAGTGCTTATGTCTATAAATAAATATTATTGTATCGTGTGATCATTCTAAGGTACCCTATGTAACTCTGATACAGCTGTAAATGTGGTTAAATTTTTGAGCGACATAAAAGAAGCGGAAACCGTTTTCCTGACCTTGCCCACCTCGCAGTTTTCTCTCTTCGTCTTGCAGTTCTTCTGCTAAATCAGGCAAAAAAATGTTCGGATGATTCAGGGCTGTTATAAACATATTGAAAGCTTTGGGGCCTCTCTTTTCCAACAAACTTAACAGTTTTTGTGTTGCATAAGTAGCACCATGATTTCTTTGCGTAGCATCGATTTCTTCCTTATCTGAACTACAAAAAAGTGTACTGAGATGTGAGGCAAGCATTGATGGGTTGGTAACGCTACTCATGATCGTAGCTATCTTGATAGCCAACACTCTCTTGTGAATTGGATCCATCACCAAAGAGACGAAAACCGCTACAGTAACACAATGGTATCAATCGATCCGTCCTTATGTAACTCAGGAACTGTACAAGCTATGGTTCCTTATACCTACCAAGCTGGTGATGGAAGAACTATCGGATTTGATTCACCCACTTACTGACTCAGACTTACTCACTCACCAACTAACTTTCTGACTGATTTAATGCCTGACCCACTCACTCACTGATTCACTCACTAACTCATTCACTCACACACTTTCTCATTCACTTACCGACCAACTCACTTTCTCACTGACTGACTAACATGCTGCTCATCACTGGCTCTGACACATTGACTGACCAACTCGCTCACTGCTCACTCAGAGACTCACTGACTCACTCACTGACTTACTGATTCTCTGAGTCTCTGACTCTCTTACTGACTCATTCACTGCCGGTTGCTCTTTCCAAGAATCGCGGGAAATCGTTTGTTCCGAAGATTGTTTTCGCTTGGTTTCTATGGGTTTATAATTGGTTCATTTGTTTCGGATCAGTTCGTGACACATTCGGAGTAATTTCTCTTTCCGATGATATTGCTAGTTTTCAGTCTTCACGCTTCCGAATTTTACTTGCAAACCTGGAAGGCAATCAAATCTTTCAAGTGAAATTTAAGCTTCACTTACGGATTTCACCGTTTATATTGCTTTAAATGCGGAACTTTGGCATTGACAGTACCTTAGTCGTGCAAAGCTGAAACCAAAACTGATGTGCGCGTGTATTGACGTATTGAAGTGACAAATTTGCGTGGTGTATTGGGCTCGAACGTTGGAAAACATGGAACTGCTTCCTTGGAAAGTCGAATGTCTGTAGTTCACCTTCGTCGTAGTTAAGGTTCATCAGTGATTTTGGTATCTTTTGAAGCAAAGTCAAGCTTTGTATGCCTTATCTTATCTAACTATTGTCGATTCATTGTGTGGGAATGCTATGTCATAATGTCGCCAGTATCTTTAATAACATGATAGACGTCTTCGTTCACGATCACAGAACTCTGTAGTAAGATTTACTTATTTATTTATTTTATTTATTACAATTTAATGACACATATAACTTACTTACTTACTTACTTACTTACATTAATAGATAATAATACAAAAGAGTAAAAAGAAAGGTGCCATAAGGATGGTCTGCAAAAGAGATAAATCCCCATGCACGGCAGACCACCTTTAACAAAAAAACAAATCCAAACTAAAATCAATCAAATCTTGCAGTCAAATAATCCCTTACACCCCTTTTAAAACAAGAAACACTTGGAGCCTGACGGACCGATAGTGGCAGCCCATTCCACATGTGGACAATCCTATTAAAATAGCAAAACCTAAAAGTATCAGTCCTCGCGTAGTTCTTTTTTAATTTAAGTTCGTCCTTACCCCTCAACGAGTATCTTTCCGAATGTGAATAAAATTGGATATAAGAGGATATATCTATATTAATATACCCATTAAGAACTCTATAAAAAAATAGTACATCAAAAAAGAAGCGTCTGTCCTCTAGAGATAACAGGTTCAGTTTTTCTTTACGAGTGTTGTAATCATCATCAGTTTTTAGAATAAA